TGCTTCCAAGCTCGCTCACCCCGTTGTGGGCATGCTGTGACCCCTCACCAGGCGGGCTTCTCCGTAGGGTCACCTCACGGCACGGCCAGTGGCTTCCCCCGGACGGGAGCGATCCTAAAGAGAACAAGGTTCGGGTCGCTCGGCACAGAGGCTGTGGTGTTTTTATAGCTGGATTTCAGAGCTGATGGCCCATCGCTTCCGCCGTGTTCTGTCAGAGACAAGTCGCCAGGGCTAGCCCACTCTCGGAGGAGGGGATTACAAAAGTACGTGGAGGAGGCAGGGGACCGTGTCTGAGGCTGTGACCACACTCCTGGGGTGCGATTTCATCCCTGTGGCGCCTGGAAGCAGGCACAGCTAGACCACACACTGTCCAGGTGTCTGTACCTGTGCGGAAAGATGCAGGAAGCTTGTGCCCCGGCGGCTGCGGTGCCCAAACACAAAGAGCACATGAGGCCATCCAGCAGGCAGGTTGCACAGTGAGCTCAGGGACGCTTATTTTGTTTCTAGGCTTCCCAACTGATTTTACATTAGCGTATTTTGGGGGTCTTTCTCTTAGGTTTGGTTCTGTGTTCAATATTGTGGAAGTTATACAAGGATACGCTTAGAGTCCGTTGTTCTGTGCTATTTGCTGCCCTGCCCCCGATCTTCCCATTTACCCTTCTCCAGAGAGAGCACTCTTCCGGAGGGAGCATCTCTCCAGAGGGAGCACTCCCCCGAGGGAGCACTCCTCCAGAGGGAGCACTCCTCCGGGGGAGCATCTCTCCAGAGGGAGCACTCCCTTCCGAGGGAGCATCTCTCCAGAAGGAGCACTCCCTTCCGAGGGAGCATCTCTCCAGAGGGAGCACTCCCCCCAGGGAGCACTCCTCCAGAGGGAGCATTCCTCCCAAGGGAGTATCTCTCCAGAGGGAGCACTCCCCCCCAAGGGAGCATTTCTCCCAAGGGAGCATCTCTCCAGAGGGAGCATTCCTCAGAGGGAGCACACATCCTGAGGGAGCATCTCTCCAGAGGGAGCCCTCTGCCCTCCTCTGCTCCTTCGTGCCAGGGCGGGCCTCCACGTCTGCGGGTACCATGCGTGTGCTGCTGCTTTCCCAGACTTCAGTTGTGCGCCCACCGGCCCCCCAGGTGGAGGATTAGGACACAGCCCCTCGCCCGCCCACACCCCGTCCTGCGCAGCCTTCTCTGCTCATCCGGCCAGCACTCCCCGGACTCTTCACAGCTGGGCCTGTAGGGAAGGATGGCGGCTCCTTTCCTGCAGGTCCTTTTGTGTCTCCCGGGTAACGACCACGTTAGTCCGTTTGCCCCGCTCCTTGTATGTGTTTATCACGAAGTCAGCTCCACATTCTGGCAGCCGTCCAACTTCCCAGGACGTTCGGGCACGTTCGGTTTTCCATCGATTTTAACATCTTGGGCAGCGTCTTGGAGAGATGTCTCCCAGAGCCTCTGGCCTGCTCTAGCCGGGGCGGGTGGCCCTCCAGGCCTGGCGCTCGGCCGCATCCAAGGACCACCCGCCACCGGCCCCCTGGGCCTCCCTCCTGGAGGGTCTCGCTTCCTCGGTCCGGGGGTTCCTCCTTTCTTCGGGTGACACGCAGCTTCCTGTGGCCTCCAGTGACAGGTGCAGAGGAGACAGATGTTTGAGGCTCTTGCACATCTGAAAGTGTCCTCCCTCCACCTCCTGACTTAACTGACGCCTTGGCTGGTTCAGAAACAATTTCCCTTTGGAATTTTGAAGCCTTTATTTCATGGACTGCTGGCTCCCAGGGTTGCTGTCAGAGTCCAACGTTACTCTGATTTCTGATTCATCACATTTGGCCTCTCCCTCCCTCCCTCCCTCCCTCCCTCTCCCTCCCTCCCTCCTTCCCTCTCTCTCCCTCCCTCTCTCTTCTTCTCTCTGCCTCCCTCTCTCTCTTAACTCTGGAAGCTCCATAGCCTCTCTCCTTTCCCCTGGTTTTATGAAATTTCACAATAATGCACCTGAATGTGAGTCTTTTCGTGTTCTGTGCTGGGGACAGGGGGCCCTTGATCTAGAAACTTATGTTCTTTGATTCTGGAAAAACATTATTTTAATTTCCTTAACGGTGACTTCTCTCCTCCTTCTCTCTTTTTTGTCCAGTTCTTTTTCTGAAACTATTCTTATCTGAATTGGTAGACAGACTCCGTGATTTGCTCGTATTTTCATCTCCGTCTTTTCCTGCCCTTTGGGAGACCCCTCCATTGACCCCCAGCCCTTCCAGAAAGACCCCCTTGTGTGGCACTGGCCCGTGTCTCCTGGGGCCAGAGTCTGTCTCCGTCACCTTGATTATAGGGTTTTCCCCACGAGCTCTTCTCCGCCACGGTCTGTATGTGGTCGAGAGTCCTGCTTCTCTGTCAGCTGATTCGGTCTGTGTCTTTCATGTTCACAACTGTCCTTAGATTTCTGGGGACCCCGGTCATCTGCCTGCGTGGAGGGTCTGCGGAGGGCAACAGTGTGTGCGTTTAAGTTGCAACCAGCTGTTACATGGCCCCTGTGTCTGTCACCCGTTTCACAGTAGTAGAAAGGGAGAACCATAGCACACCCTGACGATAAACGAATGACTATAATAACTGTCCTTAAAAAAAAAAAAACACCTTTTCCTCCCTAGCCTTTAGAGCAAAACACGGCTCTGAAAAATTCTCTGTTGCAAACACTGGCAAGACATGACTATGCAGGCTGGTGACAGGCATAAACCACTGTAAGATGGTGAGTGGGTTTGGAGACAGCTTGGTCCCCACACCCACCTTCCTCAGGCCCCACCCACGGCCTCCCGCCTGCTGAGCCGTGTGGGGCAGTGGGACGTCCTTGTGGGGGGCCCCCCCCCCCCCCCCGCCCCCCCCCCCGGTGTGCGGGGGGGGGGGGGGGGGGGTCCGGGCGCCCCCCCCCCCCCCCCCCAGGGAACAGCACTCCAGTCTGGCGGGCGGTGTGTGAATGGCGTCCTCAAGACCTGCTTCCCTCTGCACCACACACGGCCAGCTCCCATGAAACTGTATTTGTGAATGAAGAAGAAACCCACAAGAACATAAAGAGAGTGTAGAGAGAAATAAAACAGTAAGTCAGACATCAAGGTGACAAAAAGACAGCTAGCTGTTGCTAATACTGAGTCCCAACCTGGACTTTAATTTCTTTCTCTTCTAACCACTCGTGTGCGAGTAGAAAGGCCCGGGTCCCGAGGCCGCCGAGCAGCCAGCAACACTAGTTGAAGCATCGGATTTGCAGAGAGGCAGGCTGTGAAGACCCAGGGGCCAGTAACGCACTCGGGAGACAGGCTACAAATCCAGTCCAGACCCGCGGTTGGCGGTGGAGGCTCTCCACTGCTCCTCCCCGGGCACCTGCACACTTTCCAGCAGGTCTCGTGTCCGGGGCTTGCTGTCTTTCCTCAGGCTTGCGGGCAGCTGCTGGAACAGTCCTCCTTGGACACCAGTGTCTTGTGTCCCTTCTGTGTCCAAGAACTCGCAGCAGATGCCTTCCTGTCAATTACGTCTGCAGCCCAAACTTCAAGACTCTCACAAAGGTCTCCTCGCTCCCCTGCCGTCCTAGTCCCCCTGCCTCTGTCGTGCTGTGGACAGTTTCTCAGGGTGACGACACCTGTCCCCCCTCCCCACCCCCGACAGTGACCATTGCCCACACTGAGTGCCCGCGTCCTGGGCCGAGCCCTGGGCTGCTGGTGCTCCTGGTCACTGGCCCTCCTGTCAGCAGATAGGGAAACGGGGTCACAGAGGTTAAGTCGCTTGCCCACAGCACAGAGCCTCTTGGTGTGGAGGTGGGGCTTGAAGCCAGGTGACCCAAGCCCAAGGCCGCCGGCTTACCTCCTCTCCACCCTGTGCCCCAACCTTGCCGTCCTCAGACCTGACCTGAGACTTCTTCAGGATGGACTGGTGACCCCAGGACAGGCCCTGAGAGCCGGGGTCTGCCTCCACGGCTCCCCCAAGAGCAGCATGCAGGAGCGGAAGGGACAGAGGGGACTCGAGGGGACGCGAGGGGGAGCCCGACTAGGGGTGGGGTGGCACCTGGGGTGGGGGAATATCTTCACCTGCCCCACCTCCCCGGGTGCACCTGCTGCGCCCCAGCCGAGCCCCGGCTTTCATAAGGGCGCTCCCTCCGCCTGAACCCCTCTCCTCCCGGCCTGCCTGGGGGCTCTGTCCTCTGACTAACCTGCCGGTGTTGGGGTCAAGGTCACTGCCCTTTCCCTCCTGTCACTCAAGCGCCCTGTCTACCCAGTTCTGCGAACGTCCTCACGGGCCCGTCCCCTGAGCCGAGAGCCCTGAGGGCAGGCCGTGTCCTGCTCGCTCATGTTTGTGTTTCCGTACTTGTCTGTACTTGTCACGGAGCCAGCACACAGGGGCTCCGGTGTCTGGGGGTGAGAGCAGGGAGGGAGAGGGTGGGGCACCCTCGGCACCGGGCAGGGGGGTGGTGGCCGTGTCCTTCCAGCCGGTTCCTCCCCGGGCAGGGGAGCCAAGAGCCCCCGTCCAGTCCAGAAGAGAGACCATCCCTCTGCGGGGACCCCAGTGTCCCCTGGAAACAGCCCCCAGGGCGCCCCTCCCGACAGCGGTGACGGGCCGGTTCTTCAGGACCCGTCAGCCTTACGGGAGGTTGCTAAATGTGTTTGGTGGGTTTGACATTCTCCCCTGCTCGGGAGCCATCATTTCGGATCAGTCACGTCCACGTCCGTCCGCTCAGGCTGTGTCGACTTGGAAGGGAACGTCTGAATTTCACTGTCGCATGATTTCATCCGAAGCTATTTTACCGACACTCGAAGGGCGTCTACGGTGCACTCACGGCCAGCGTGGCCTCTGGGACGAAGCCGGGGCGGGGGACAGGGTCAGGGCAGGGGCAGGGGGCGGGGGCGGGGGCGGGGCCCGGGCTGGCAGAGTCGTGGCACCTTCCGTCACCAGCACCGCTGGGTCCACCTCAGCCAACAGCCTCTGCATCCGGGGCTGGCACTTCCTTCCACTAAGTGCTGTCTCCCCCCCGCCCCCGCCCCCGGCAGGTACCACGACCAGCAGGACGTGACCAGTAACTTCCTGGGTGCCATGTGGCTCATCTCCATCACCTTCCTCTCCATCGGTTACGGGGACATGGTCCCACACACGTACTGTGGGAAGGGCGTCTGTCTCCTCACCGGCATCATGGTGAGTACCTGGCCCGCCCGTCGCCCTCCCCACCTGCAAACGCCGTGAGAGCGCAGGAGGGGTCCTCCGGGCAGGACGGCTGCTGGGCGCCCCCTCCCCGCACACGGCCGGGAAGGTGCTTCTCGGCTCAGTTTCCTTTTCTAGCACAGTCAGAGCTCCTCATCTCCACGGCCCCCCAGGTGGGCTGGGCTGGGCCGGGCTGGGTCTGGCCCCCACCCCCGTGCCCCCCACCGGCACCACCCCGCGGCCATAAGCGACAGGGCCCTCGGGCCCCACAGACTCAGCGCCACGTCCGAGGGACCGTCACTGGAACTCCCAGAGCCGGGATCCTGGGCGGGCGCTGACCTGGCCACGAGAGGCCCGTGTCCTGGGTCGGTGTGCGGCCGGCCACCGCCACCGCCTCCCGCTGGCCGCATGACACCTGCAGCTGTGGCCCAGGACCACTGCTCAGTGACCTCTATTCAGGAGAGGACCCCCAAGGCTCCGAGGAGAAGGCTGCAGGGAAGCCTGGGGTGGCCTCGGGGCTGTGAGCGCGCGCAGGCCTGCATTTCTAGGTGCCCGGGGCCCCCCCCCACAACCCCCACACGGTGGGGGGGGGGGCTTCCCTCTTGGTGCTCCTCAGACGTCATTCATCCGCGTTTGCAGCGTAAAGGGCGCTAACTTCTCAGCAGGGTGGGGGCCGCCCCCCCCCCCGACCTGACCATCTGGCACCCATCTCGGACACCAGGCCGCTGAGTTCGGGCCCCTGGGAGCAGAGGAGGGTCTAGGGCCAGGGGCCCCGAGCGGCCGCGCCTGCCTGGACACGCCGTGCCCCTGCGGCTCCTTCCCACGGAGGCCTGGCGGGGCGCACATCAGCAAGTCGGCCAACGGCCCCTCCTGGGGGCGGGAGAAGGGGGGGGCTTAGCACCTGCCGTGTGAATCCCGGGTGAGCGAGGCCTCAGAACCATCCCCTCCCTTCCCCCCCGCCCCCGTCCATCGGGCGGTAGGAGTCTGTCTGGCCGAACTCCAGCTGCCACCAGAAACCAGGCGATGGCCTCCCTCCAGCACCTAGTGACACGTGGCCTGAAGGCCGAAGCCTTGGCGTCTTAGAGGCTCGGCTGGGGGTGGGGGGGGTGGGGGGGGCGGGGGTGCGGGGGGGTGGGGCCCCCCCGCCCCCCCCCGCGCGGGGTGGGGGGGGCCCCCCCCCCCCCCCCCCCGGAGCGTATCGTGGGCAGCTTCCCCCAGGCTCCAGGCGTGTGCTCCCCAGGACCCTGGGCCCCTGCCGGCGGCCTCCTCCTCAGGGTGGGGTCCTCGGCTCCTGGGGCGCAGGGCCGTGTCCCCGTGCGGGGAGGGGTGGTTGAAGCCAGCGCAGCAAGCGGGTGAGGGGGGCCCGTATCCTCTCCCGCATGAACAACACAGCTCAGGCCCTTCATCTTCTTTTTTGTTCAAAACATCTCCCTCTCCGGGTGCAGGGGCGGGGGGGGGGGGCTGTATGGTCAAGGGCCGTGGCCCCCGTTAACGTCCACTGCCTCCCTCTGGGGTCAGACGAGGGAGCCCCAGTGGCCCTTTTCTAGCTGAGTCATTCTTGCTGGGGTTTCTGAGCCGCCCTCCCTCCCCTCCCCCAGCCTCCCAGCACCCCCCACCTCGGGTACTTCCCAAGGACAGGTAGGGCTTCCCGCCTGGTTACCATGGACACTGCGGGGCCTGGGGGGGAGGGGGGAGGATGGGTTTGTGTGCTGCGGCTGTAAATAGTCTTAATCATTGTTTTCTCTCGGCGATCCTAGAAAGGGGGTAATTATCACCCATTAAGCCAGGTGCTCCGTGGTCTGAACGACCTGCCGTGGTTGGCACGGACCCGGTGTGTTTGAGGGACTTCAGCCACAGAAGCAGGTCTGTCAAAGTCCAGCATCTCTCCTCCAAGAACGTCACGAGCTGGTGACAGTGCAGAGAGAAAGCTGTCGGTACTTAGCCACCAGAACTGGAAATGGCAACACCCGGGAGGCGGTGCTTTGGAAGCCTCTTGGCTGCCGGGTGTGGGGTGTCGGGGGAGCCCGGGGCCCAGACCACCCTGCGGGAGCCCCATTTCGGTGCAGCCGAGCCACACGCGCCCCGTGGGCCCTTCCTGAGTTTGGGGCACGGAGACAAAGCTGTGGGATGTCTGCTGGGGACGCTGAGTCTCCCCCAAGGCCTCGGGAGAGATGCTCTCTGAACCTGGGTGGGGGGGGGGGTGCTCAGCGGCGCATCTGCCTCCCGTCAGTTTGAGAAGACGAGCCTCTCCCTGAGACACCTTGCTTCCAAACCAACTGCCGTGGTTTTACTTGTCGGGTGGAGTCTGCTGTAGAGACGGCGTAAACCCTCCGGGCTGGATTCCCCCATTCGTCACCGTCACCGTAATTTACGCCTCTTGTTTTAGTTTATGCTTCTTTAGTTAAGGACACTGCATCCTTTCCCCCTCGGACGCTGGTTTTTCCAGATTCTGAGGTTTTGCAGCTGGAAAGTGTTTCTTGGAATCAAGGAGAGGGAGGACCGGTGCGGAGGACTCCAGACTCCGGAGGGGGGACCGGTGTGGAGGACTCCGGTCTCCGGAGGGGTGACCGGTGCGGAGGACTCCGGACTCCGGAGGGGGGACCGGTGAGGAGGACTCCGGACTCCGGAGGGGGGACCGGTGCGGAGGACTCCGGAGGGGGGACCGGTGCGGAGGACTCCGGTCTCCGGAGGGGGGACCGGTGCGGAGGACTCCAGACTCCGGAGGGGGGACCGGTGAGGAGGACTCCGGTCTCCGGAGGGGGGACCGGTGCGGAGGACTCCGGACTCTGGAGGGGGGACCGGTGAGGAGGACACTGGTCTCTGGGCTCAGATGTAGGGATGAGTTGGCAGTTTCACCCTCGCGGGCCGCTCCTGTGGGCCTGCTCACCGCACACCGTCCAGGTGGACCCTGCCCTCCCGCCCCTCCCTCGGGGGTAGGAGCTGGCCCAGGGAGACCCAGGAGCCCAGCCGGTGTCACCTGTGACTCTGGACTTGGCATGTCTGAAGGCAAGGTCTCAGTCATGGATTTGCTCCCCAGGGTGACCCTGTGGAGGTCACACCAGCAGCCACTTCGTCCTCTCCATCCCACGCCATCCTGCCCCTCCATCTCCCAACGCGGCCCCGCCCCCGGGCACCTGACCTGGAGAAGGGCTCACTGCCCCGGCGGGAACATAGGTGATCACTAGACAGCTTACTGGCAAACACGGCATCAGGAGGGGCTCCCGTCACCAGTCTTCTCCACCAGAGGGCCAGCTGACCGTTACCTCCTGACTCCAGCCTCACCTCCCTGTCCCTCCTGCTCCTCACTCACCCCCATCGTCGTCTCTCCCTCTTCTTCCCTCTTCCCTTTCCCTTCCCTCCTTCCGCTCCCCCCCTCCACCCCCGCCCCCCGCCCCCCGCCCCCCACTCCTGCCAGCTGCTTCAGGATGCAGCTCCAGTGTTCCCTGTCTGGTCTCTGCTCCAGCAACCTCTCTCTCTGCACCCCTCCCCTCCCCTCCCCTCCCCTCCCTTCCTTCTCTGCTCCCCCTCCTCCTCCCTCTTCCCCTCCTCCTCTCTGTCTGTCTCTGCATCTCTCTCTCACACACACTGCGCAGGGGACCAGCAGTCTGCATTTCAGCACTCAGCCCTCCACTTTCCAGAGGCTGCTGATGTCTGACCCCATCTTTACCAGGTTGTCTTTTCATGGAAATGATCAAGTGAGGCTTCGTGATTAGCGACTTCCCTGATTACATCCAGAGGATGGGTTTTCCAAAAGAAAAAAAATAAAGTTGAGAGTATTCTCTGCTTCTGTACTCAGGTTAGAATTAGAGGTTAAGAACCTGGCATCCTCCAGAGAAATATCCACAAGGAAGTCTTGGCATCTTTAAGTGAAAAGAAATTGAAAATGTAATCCAATCCACCTTACTGTCTCCGTGCAGAAACTTATCTTAGTTGTATATTAGTTAAAACACTCTAACTTCTAACTAGAAGCCCCTGCATCTAACCAGCTAGGCTGTGGGCCATGGCGAGAGCTGGGGCCCTCTTTTCGGACCGTGTAAATCCAGGATGGTGCTGGAGTGATTGTTTTGATGAAATCCCCAAAGCGACACGACGAGTGGGGGACCCTCTCCTCAGGCGTCTTCTGCCCCCAGCTCTCAGGGGCGATTTAAGCGGAGCTGACCCCGGGAGGTGAGGGAGAACGGAGCCTAGGGAGGGCCCTCTCCATCTAATGTCCATTTTTAACGCTGTGATAAGTCCCTGTGTTTGGACTGTCGGCCCAGACTACGTTTGGAACCCCGTATAAAGGAGCAGGATTATACGCGGTCTGGTTGAAGGGAGTGGAGCACAGCTTCCCCCCAGGACGGCTTCTTTTAAGCTATTTTTTGCTTTTGGAGGCTTGGCTAAATCAATTGCAGCATTAGACCAGGCTGCCCACGTGCCCATACACACCCTTTGAAAAATGGGCACGGTCTTCTGCAAGTCACAGATGCCAAGAACACACAGCCATCCCTGAACAAAAGGAAAACAAGGTTAGAAAGGAGGGTTCACAGACCCAGGCCTTTCCAGTTGGTCGTGCTCGGAATGGTGGTTCCAAATGTACCGAGAAACGCGAGACCATCCAATGGGGACACTGTGAAAAGCCAGGGAATGCACTGGTCCTTCAGCCAAAGCCTCGCACAGGCCTCGCTGCCCACGGAGGGGAAGGGCCTCGCCATGGACACCCCCCCCAGCTGCAGTACTGGTTACGTGCCTTCTAAAGCGCTCATTTCTATTTCTAACTCATCCTGATAGACTGATGAGCCGAAAACATCAAGGATGGAGCCTTTCAGTCCTGCCACCTCTAAGTGCTAAACCGGGCTTGGGGCAAATAGTGTGGCATCTAGAGGGCCACACTGCTCCTCTCTTCCCATGAGGCCATTGTGCGGGATAGAGCAGGGGCATGGCTGGGGCAGGGCTGGGGTAGGGCATGAGCAGGGCAGGGCTGGAGCAGGGCAGGGCAGAAGGATGAGCAGAGGATAAACCTCCCTGTCCCCGAGCTGGCAGGTGGGTTGGGACAGACACTGCACAGGACTCAGATTCACCAGGAGGACAAGGGAGGGCACCAGGGTGTGCTCATTCCCCAGACTGTCACTTACGCGGCCGAGGGCTCGAGGAGGGGGCTCTGGGACCCCTGTCCGCCCCGCAGAGTGAGAACATTGGTCCGGGAAGGACTGAGGGCGTCTGGGGGTTCCCTTAAGCCCTGGTCGGAGCAGGAGTGTTGCTGTGTCTCCACAGCATGGGCCCGAGGAGCCTCTGGTGGGAGGGAGACAGGGCCAGTCCCAGGGCCGCGTCGCAGACGGGGCCTCTGGGCAGAAGGACCCCAGTGCGGGCCGAGCACAGCCGTGGGGTGCCGCCTGGGGCTGCGCTGTCTCTTTGGATGGTTCCAGGGAAAGTCTCCAGGGCAGTGAAGCTGGTCCCCCTCTGGTGTAGGCGTGGTCTTCTCCCCTGGCCCCGGGTCTGGGGCTGGCGCTGGGTGTGTGTAAGCAAGCCGGAGAGCGGGCCTGGTGTCCGCAAAGCCTTGCCGATGACCGGGGACTGTCCCCGGAGCCTCAGCCCCGCCCTGCTCCGTTAGGAACTGGCTGGTTGTGGGAAGATTCGGGCACCCGGAGGTGAGCCCTTCGGCCAAGCCAAGAGGCTGGCGGGCCCCTCCCGAGGGTGGCAGTCGGGGCCCCGGAAGGCTCCAGGTGCCCGTCCACTCCCAGGACCCCTGCAGTGGGTGCGAAGGGGGGTCCCTCCCGTCTCCTGCCTGCACTTGCCTTGTGCTCACGTGCCCTCCCCCGCCCCTTGCTGTCCCCCCACAGGGTGCGGGCTGCACTGCCCTCGTGGTGGCCGTGGTGGCCCGGAAGTTGGAGCTCACCAAGGCGGAGAAGCACGTGCACAACTTCATGATGGACACTCAGCTCACCAAACGGGTAAAACAGCGCCGTCCGCGACTCGGGGGGGACTCTGACCCGCGTGGCAGCGAGCCGCAGGCAAACGGTCCTGCGATGTAGGTCGGGTCGCACTCTCCACCGGGGGTCGAGGGAGCCCAGAGCCCAGCCCGCGGCCTCCACACAGGGGCTCCCGTCTCCCAGTGGGTCACGGTGCGCGGTGCAGGCACGGTTGACTGTGCGGCACCCGGTGGCGTCGCCCGTGCCCTCTCCCGGCGGCGCTGAACTAACTGCTCAGCACGAGGCAACGTTTTCGTTCAGGCTCAGATATGTTCACGGTTGGAAGGGCAGCTGGGTCTGAGAAACGATGTTGGAAATGTATCTAAATGCACTTCTTTCTACAAAATCATTAAAGACGATCATCGCAGCAGAGCCCGCGTTTCTAAATGTCCTCATCCAGCCCCCTCTGGGGTTTCTGGGCCGTCTCCTCACTGGTGGTTAAGGAGGAGGAAAACTGGAGGCGGGAATGGGGAGAGGGGTCGGCCGCAGCAGGCCCACCAGATCGTCAGGCAAGGGGACGGCCCCGTGGGAGGGACAAGATGGGTCCTTCCCGGACAGCCGCCACACAAGCAAGGTGGGAGCCGTTTCCTAACGACAGCTTTTACGGAGAACTCTCTAGAACTCTCTAGAGCTTCAGGCAAGACACAGGTCAGCAAGAGGATGTCTTGTGAGGCTGTCCTGTCCCTGAGCCGAGAGGGCATCAGAGCCTGTGCTGGGGACCTGGCCGCTGTGGCGGGCCTTCCGCAGGACCCTGTGATGACAGACAGCCGCGGCAGTGAAAGTGTGAGGGACCCGGCCGGCCACTGGACGGCCAGTGCCGGGGGGGCCGCGGGAGCACACGAGGGTGCTGAGGCGTCTGCATGCTCAGCAGAATTATTGATGGGGTTTGACTGTTTGCTCTCTGATTACACGTATCGGATTCTTCAAAGAGCCTCCACAGATGTGGAAAGGAACGGGTCCGGGCAAATAGCCTAGCGTTGACATGCGGATGGTTGAACGTGGCACAGCGTGGCCCAGACTGTCCACTGCACAAGAGAAAACACAATTTACCTTCAAGACGGCAGCGCTGAGGGCCGTTCCCAGCGGGTTTCTGAGTGGGTTTCCCAGATGCCAGCCCCGGCACGTGCACACAAGGCCCGGCTGGGTGCCGACTGAGCAGGTCAGCTAAGCCACTGGAGCACCTGGCCACAGGCGCCCTGGCGGCTCCCCTACGAACGATCCGGTGCGCGAGAGGGGGGCAGGACAGCTGGCCTCGAACCCTTCTCAGGAGCTGCTTCCTTACCGTCTCCGTCTCCTCTGGTCTGCTCTGTGCTCCTTGTCTCAGGCTACTCAGAGAGCCAGCACCTTCATACGGTGGGAAAATAAACGACCGTCCTGCGGTCTGAGTGTGCGCGCGCAGACTGTGGTGGCCAGCTTCCACCCTTCCAAGACGCTCTGTGAATCCTCCTCGAGGCCACTTACTTTTTGAGAAGTAGGGCTGAAAACCAAATCAACAAGTATTTGTGGCTCGATTCTCTGAGAACACTTAAGTCCGTTGAAATGTCCCTTGAACGTCTGATCTCTTCCCAGAGAAGCAAACACAGCGAAGGGGCCCCTCTTTCAGAGCGAGGATTTTCAAAGCTGGAGGGACCAGGCCTCCCGGAGGCTCTTCTCCAAACCTTGCTGGCAGGAAGGTGCCGGTGCGCTTGGCCAGCCCCGGCCTCTGCTCACCTTGACCCACTTTCGGAGAGCCCAGCTCCCCTCCTCTGACACCTGCCCGAGCCTCAGAGCGAGACGCAGAGGTGGGAGGAGCCAATGGCAGCACGGGCTAGGAACCCAGTTTCTGGTTTGCCTGAATCCGTGGCTGTTCAGTCATTTGTATAACTTGTCAACTCTGGTGGCAGTGTCTTCCTGCATTTAGTGCAGTCAGACCTTCTCGGGGCGCCTGGGTGGCTCAGTCGATTGAGCGTCCGACTTCGGCTCAGGTCACGATTTCGTGGTTTGTGGGTTCGGGCCCCGCGTCAGGCTCTGTGTTGACGGCTCAGAGCCTGGAGTCTGCTTCATTCTGTGTCTTCCTTCTCTCTGCTCCTCCCCTGCTCGCACTCTGTCTCTCTCTCAAAAATGAATATTGATGAATATTGATTGATATTTATTTATCAGAATAAAAAGCTTCTGCGCAGCGAAGGAAACAATCAGCAAAACTAAAAGGCAACCGACAGAATGGAAGAAGATGTCTGCAAACGACATATCAGATAGAGGGTTAGAATCCAAAATCTATAAAGAACTTACCAAACTCAACACCCGAAAAACAAATAATCCAGTGAAGAAATGGGCAAAAGACATGAATAGACTTCTCCAAAGAAGACATCCAGACGGCCAACCGACACATGAAAAAATGCTCAACTTCACGCCTCATCAGGGAAACACAAATCAAAACCACAGTGAGATACCACCTCACCCCTGTCAGAATGGCTAACATTAACACCTCAGGCAACAACAGATGTTGGCGAGGATGTGGAGAGAGAGGATCTCTTTTGCATTGTTGGTGGGAATGCAAACTGGTGCAGCCACTCTGGAAAACAGTCTGGAGGTTCCTCAAAAAACTACAAATAGAACTACCCCACGACCCAGCAATTGCACTATCAGGCATTTCTCCACGGGATACAGGTGGGCTGTTTCGAAGGGACACACGCACCCCCACGTTTACAGCAGCGCTGTCGACAACAGCCAAAGGATGGAAAGAGCCCAATGTCCCTCGATGGATGAGTGGATAAAGAAGATGTGGTCTATATACACAATGGAGTATTACTCGGCAATCAAAAAGAATGAAATCTTGCCATTTGCAGCTACGTGGATGGAACTGGAGGGTATTATGCTGAGCGAAATTAGTCAGAGAAAGACAAAAATCATAGGACTTCACTCATAGGAGGACTTTAAGAGCCAAAACAGAGGAACGTAAGGGAAGGGAAACGAATATAATATAAAAACAGGGAGGGGGACAAAACAGAAGAGACCCTTAAATATGGAGAACAAACTGAGGGTTACGGGGGGGCGCGGGGGGGGGGGGAGGGGCTAAATGGGGGAGGGGCACTAGGGAATCTACTCCTGAAATCACCGTTGCACCATATGCTAACTAACTTGGATGTAAATTAAAAACAAAAAAATCAGACCTGCCCACAGCGACCTTGCCGCAGTAGCCCTGGGCTGCCAGACAATATACGTGTGATGCACACAGAGACGCGCACAAGATACCAGATGCCCAGCTTTCCTCCTACTCAGTGCTACGAGTCCCCGTCTCTCTGTTCCGTGCGACTGAACATACCTGTCATCAGTCCCCCGTCGGCCACCACCCTCCGTGCTCCGGGGACACCACAGTGGGTAACAGGCGGTCCCCGCCCACCCTCAAAGAGCACCTCTGCTCGTTGGGCACATTCCCCGGGGACACACGGCTTGAGGAGCACCGTGGGCAGGAGGCGTCCTGTCTGCACGTCGACTGTCCGCGTCGGGCCACGGCGTGTGCCACTGGCTGAGGACTGTGTCTCCCTGCCCTTGCTGTGACAGATACTTTGTCTAAATACATCTCCCCACGAAGTCGACGAGTAAGATCAAAGCCAAGCCCGTATCTTTCCTACGCTAGTTCCTTCTCCTGACCACCCCCCTGGTCTCCAGGCCTGGAAACTTAGCAGTGTCTCTGCCTCTCTGCCCTGGACCCCACCGGGCTTCCCGAGCCTGGATTCCATCTGGCCACGGCTGTCCCCGCACACTGGCCCCCGGGCACCCCGCGCACCACGCTCAGAACCGACACAGGTCCTTGCTGCCCTCCCCGCTTCGTGAACCTCCCTGGCCCCGGGCTTCCTGCGCTGTGTGGGTCCCCTTAGGCTCCAAGACTCAGCTCTGAACATATCACCCCCACCCCCGCTCAACACCCTGAGTAACCCCGGTATCTACTGATCAGTGCTAAAGAAAACTCTTTTTTCATTATGAGCATATGTAAAAGTTTTATCACAATCCTGCTGGAAAAACCCTTTTCTTCCAGCAGGTTAATTCAAAAGTTTACTCATAACAGGTCTTAATCTCTTAAAAACTTACCAAGTAATCAATTGGCCAGTTGTGAGAATACTAACCCTCCCCAGAAAGGGCCTGTGGATTACCTGCAGCTCGTAGGGCCTTAACTAGGGCTGCAGGCCATAACCCGTGGGCTTCTCAGAGTAGTCAGTTACCGGCCACTTGGCACGGCGGTTAGGGCCCAGGCCTGCGGGAGAGAAACCCGCGTGCCTGCATCCAGGCCGAGCTCCACGCTGAAGTCCCTGTGGAATTAAGCACCATCCATCACCCTGGCACTCGGAGCAAGGAGCTTCGGACTAACTTGGAACCACAGGACCACCCGCCCCCTGCTCCTGCCAGCCGAGGGGCCGAGCCGAGCCGCCTTCCCGGCACTGAGGCTGGCCCCTGTGTGCGGACCTTGAAGCCTGGCAAGGACTCGGGGCAGGACTGGGCGGGTGGACAGAGGAAAGGAAGCCGGCGGGCAGGCTGTGGGGGTGAGGGTGAGGGAGGGGAGGGGGTTGGCAGGTGGGGAGGGCGAGACCCTCTCCTCCAGTGCTAACAGAGGCCTTCGACAAGTGCCCGAAGACGGGGCGACCCGTGATGTCCTCTGTTCATCTGAATCCAACCTGGGCAGCTCCTCGAACGTGTCTGCCAGGCCTGCCCTGTTTCCTCTCCCGTCCCCTCTCCCGTCCCCTCTCCAGCCTCAGGTGGACCACCCTCCCCACCGGGGACTATTCCGGCAGCTAATGGGCTGGCGATTCCTTCCCTGGAGGGTCACTGGGGGCTCCCCGAGGCTGCTGGAGGCACGGGGGCCAGGAAAGATGCCTGTCCGAGGCTGTCCCCTTGTCCTCCTGCAGCTGACAACCCTCTGAGGGGCTGAGCAGCAGGCAGCCCGGGCATTGGTGGGGGGTGGGGGGTGCGGGGAGCAAGCCCCTGGCCCGGGTGATGCAGCCAAGAGCTCAGGGAACAGACAAGTGGGTTTGGTGACGTTTCCTTGGGTTGGGGGTAGAGGTGGGGGCGGGGAGGGAGCTCACATTCAGTGAGTGGACAGTGGGTGGGCAGAGGCAGAGCCACTGTGCGTTGAAGGGCCCGGTGGCCCAGTGGCTCCCCGTGTCCTGGACACAGACCCGCAGCACCGCCGTCACCCTCTGAGCGCTGCCCCGCGCCGCCTCTCGCCCTCACTACCCGACAGGACAAGCCGCGTGCTGTCTCGGCACGATCGTGTGCCCCTCGAGGGCAGGACCCCGGTGTCCTCGCCACCAGGACAGGCGCTCATCGCATGTTGTGTGGAGGCCACTCGGCAGCACGGCCAAAGAGCACACGGTAACTCCAGGCGCCGGCGAGGCTTTCCTGAGGGTGAAGGAAACCGTGTAAACACGAGGTGCTTAGCACAGAGCCTGGCACACAGTGAGCTGGGTAAACGTCAGCTGTGCTACTCTCTGCGAGACCTTGGTCGGATGGCTTCCTGGCCCAGGGCCCGGTGGCCTCAGAGCCGCCCCTGAAGCTCATAGGTCACCGAGTCCGTCCTCCGGGGTAGACCGTGTGTGGCCTCCCAGCCAGCTCGTGTGTTCGTCCGTTTGGAGCCGGCCTTGCCCAGTCCTCCTCGGGTCCCTGACCCTTCCCGCCCCCACCCCCGGCCCCAGGCGACCTTCCGGCCCTGGCGGCCCTGCCCGCCAGGAGAGCTCAGAGGGTCCCCGGTCCCCCCTTCCCAGCAGCGCGGCGGACCCCAGGAGGGGCACACGACCTCGACCGCTCACACCCCAGTGGTGTCGGCAGAGCTCAACCGGGTGACCAAGGGGGGGCCCTGGTCGAGTAGCATTGACCGTGAGCCTGGGAGGGCGCGGTGCGGCTAAGAGCCCGTTTCTTCTTTCGCAGATATCGAGGTGCTTAGCTTTGTGCCAGGCTTTTTGCTGGCAGTTAATTTCAGAGCGGGCACCAAGGCTTGCATCTCGCGTCACCTTCCCGAGTGCACCGGGGCTTCCTGCTCACACGACGTGGCCGCGTGCTCGGCTGCCCGGGCGGTGCTGTGCTTGTCCAGCCGAGACCTGGGCTGAAGTGAGGCGCGGGCCTGACCCCCTGCTCTGTTATGTGGCTTAAGCGAGGGCCCCGAGGAGTAGAAAAAATACAATAAAGGCGCAAAGGCTTTTCCAGTCCCGTGATCCTGGAACACGGGAAATAGGGTTGTTTGTGTGGAGACGAAGTCTGGTCAGGTCTTTTACTCAGACCACGTGGAACCTCATGTCCTCCTTGGGCCTGGCTGTGCCGCCAGCCGGCCGTGTGACTCCAGCCCTCACGCCCTGTGTCCCACGCCGCGTCCTGGGGTCTGGGCGAGGTGACGGTCACTACCACCTGTGCGTGTACAGTCTGGCGACACTTAAATCCGAGATGACTCAGTTTACCATCCATGACTCCGTGGTGTTGGGCTGTGTCTCTTCCTTCGTCTGTCGCACGGGGGTCACACTAGCCCCCCTCCCCCCATGACTTGGTGCGCGAGGCACTCGGACCTGGGCCCGACACCCCGTCCACACCACCATAGCCGCCTCCTTGGGGCCTCACAACAGCCTCAGCGTAAGGACTGATGTTTCCCAGCTGCGAGGTGATTAAGCATCTTCTCCTAAACGCCCCGTAACTTCGGGGACGAGGATGAGCCCGCAGCCTTTCCGGTCTCACCCGTCCGCTCCACTTCAACGCCGACACACGTGTCGAAGGCCCGCGGCGGTGTTCCGGGGCTCGGCCGGCCCCCCACGGGGGACAGGGTGCAGCCTGGCTCGGCCGATGGTCCTAAACGCAGGGAGAGGGTTTTTCTCTTGTTTGGCCGTGGGGCCTCCCTCGGAGGCTAAGCGCCCAGGCAAACCGGAGGGTGCACGTGTCTGATGGGCCTCCCCCTGCGCAAGTCGCAGGGGTGCGCCCTCTGCCTTGTCCAGGGGGCTCCTGCCCCCCGCCGCTCACCTGGGCGCCCGCCGGTGTGAGCTCCTGCTCACCAACACCTGCTTCCTCTCGGGGAAGGAAGGTGCCAGAAGCAGGCAATTAAGCCACTTAAAACCATTTTCCCAGTGGATTTTTACCGAACAAAAAAGCAGTGTTTATGTCACTTAGACATTTCCGAGAAGACTTAGCTGTTCTTTTAAAAACATCCCTTCAGCACCAATGAAAAATATGCTCCAGCCTTGGTCATAAATTTTCCCAACAGATGCACACAGAAGTTCTCAGCCTGCAGAACAGTGCCTCCTGGGCCCTCGCACACGCCTCGGCGTTTTGACAGCATCCCGTCCGGGACGGCCGTCCGAAGAAGCGGGCCCGGGCGCTCGGCTTCCCCTAAAGTCCCTCTGGCCGGGGGCTCGATTTGCACCGGGCCGGCTCCCGCGGCTCCCGGAAACGGGGGCGGCTCCTCAAGACTCCGCTTGGCTCGCGCTCCGTGAGAGAGTGTCCCATGCTCTCGCCACTAATTGCTGAAGACGTCTGTGTTTGGATTAAAACTTCGTCCCCTGCCATCTGGATGTCACTGACGCGTCCCAGCTCGGTCGGGAGCCGGGCAGATCCGCGCTTTCCACGTCGACAGCTGACGGCGTGGAGCGCCGAGCGCCGCGAAGGAGCCAGCCTTGGCCGAGACGCAGTGCGGGCCTCACACCTAAATATCTTCGCCGATTTTCAGACGCCGCCTTGAGATCGTTTCAGCCTCACGCCGGCTACGCTTACGTGCAGAACCGCGGTCTAAATGCTTTTGGCCGTTTGGGAAAGAACACGGCGGACTTGCCGGGGCCCCTGGTTCCGTTTGTGGGAAAGACGTTGCCTCTCCTCCAAGGGCCTTTCAGAATCGCCCGCTGTTGAGAAACCCGCTTGCTCTCGGGATCCCAGAGAGGTGCCGGGTGCCCCAGACGGAGGTCCCAGGTAGCGCCGGGAGCGGTGGCCCGCGTGTCTCTGCCCACAGGGGCCCCCGGGGCCGCCCGGCCGGTGGGGGGGCTGCAGCCTGACTAAATGTAGCACCAGGAACAGCGGTCGAGAGGCGGCCTGAAGTAATTGAGAGACAAGAAACGCCCTCGACCCCAGGCTCGTCCACCGTGTCCGAGGCAGGAGTGACAGGAGGTGAACCGGAACCCTCTCCATCAGGGTGCACGGATCGCTGAAGGCGAGGGGTCTTTGCAGAACCGGGTCCCCAGAGGTGGCCCAAGTAGCAAACAGATGACGTGAACCTCGGAAGACTAACCCGACCGCCTGCTTTGTCGGTTTTTCCTCAGATCAAGAACGCCGCGGCCAACGTCCTTCGAGAAACGTGGCTGATCTACAAGCACACGAAGCTGCTGAAGAAGATCGACCACGCCAAGGTCCGGAAGCACCAGAGGAAGTTCCTGCAAGCTATCCACCAGTGAGTATGTGTCGGGGCCGCCGGCCGCCAGCCTGGGCCGGGACCCCCTGACCCGGAAGCACGGGGCACACCCGCGCCGTCCCCGCTCAGCAAGCCCCGGGGCGCCTGTCACGCCCGCAGCCCCCAAGCACCAGGCGGGGCGCTGCGGAAGGGGAAGGAGTCGGAGGCTCCACGGACGCGCACCTCACGCAGACACGCGCTCACGCACCCTCGCACACTCACTCACTCGCACACACACACCTGCACCTCCACGGACCCCCACAGCACACGGACACACACACACACACACACACACACACACACACACCTGCACCTCCGCAGACCTGCACATCACGCGGACACACACACATCACACACTCTCACGCACACTCGCACACTCACTCTCTCACTTGCACACACACACCTGCACCTCCGCAGACCCGCACATCACGCGGACACACACACAATCACACTCGTACACACACACACACACCTGTACCTCCACAGACCCGCACATCACACGGACACACACTCACTCTCACACACATCACGCACACTGGCGCGCACACACACACACACCTGCACCTCCGCGGACCTGCACATCACACGCTCACACACACTCACTCTCACACACACACACACACACTCACACCTGCACCTCTGCGGACCCGCACATCACACGGACACACACACACTCGCACACACACACCTGCACCTCCACGGACCCCACATCACACAGACACACACACTCTCACACTCACACACACACACCTGCACCTCCGCAGACCCGCACATCACGCGGACACACACACACACACAGTCACACGCACACACCTGCACCTCCGCGGATGCGCACATCACATGGACACACACACACTCTCACACACATCACGCACACTCGTGCACACACACACACTCACACCTGCACCTCCGCGGACCCGCACATCACACGGACACACACACACACACACACACTCGCACACACACACCTGCACCTCTGCGGACCCCCACATCACACGGACACACACACTTACTCTCACACTCACACACACACACACACACACCTGCACCTCCGCGGACCCGCACATCACTCGGACACACACACTCACACACACACACACTGTCACACGCACACACCT